GCGTAAAAATACAGTATAAGTCATTATAATCCATAATTATGTCCCTACTGGATGCAACGAATGCCTCGTTTGTAATGGGTTTTCATGTTTTTGTGTCGTTGCTCCGGCCGGACACGGCATCAACATATGGTGAGGGGCGTAACATTTCCGTCTCACGCTTGAGGTATTCGGCCAATCACAACGCTCTGGATAGCTGGCCAATCAGAGCACACCTCGCTTTTTCAGATCGATGAGCTTTGTAAAAATCGACGCGTTTCAGAAAGGCGGGGCATAGAGGAGAAACAACAATGTACAGTATGTGGAAAATAATGTGTTTTTTTAACCTTAAACCGCATAAACACATTTCATTACACCAAATACACAAAATAATGTTCTTTTTAGCAGCATCATATGACCCCTTTAATAATCTTTCAAAATAGTTAGGGAAATAAGATGTGTTTTGTGCAGCCTTTAGCTTCAGAGGCCATATCATCTCATCATCTCCCACGCACAGGAAAACAGCAAACAATACAAGAAAAAGCTAACATGTCAGTGGGTGAAATGAGAAGCAGTTAACCACATCCCTGAATGAGGCCTTCACACTTGCTTTTTAGATATGTAAATTTTAAGTGTGAAAACGTCACCACAGAGCACAAGAAATGAAATGTGTTTTACATTACAGAAGCATGCTTTGCATTTGCACCATGATTCAGTGCAATTGTCAGAGTATTGTCAAAAAGAAAGCATATTTAAACCTATTTCTATTTTCTCTTTTATAGTCTAAAATATATTCTGAGAAGACCTTAATGGGGACATTTTGTAAAAGGATAAAATTAAAACTTTGCGATTTAAAATAAATATTTTAAACCATAAGAATTGATAGGTGCACAAACAATCAAATATATAAATGTCTTTATTTTCACTTTTATTTTCTCATAAAAAAACATACACAAAACGGAATAATTAGCCTACTCTATATGATACTCTTTCATTGAGCTCGAAGACAAACAACACACTTTTGTTTTAGCCTACTTAATGGTGCACTAAATTAATTTCACCCATAAATGACAACACAAATATATTTACAAACAATGTACATGCAGACGAGGAAATTTCTTTTTTGCTAATTTAACATATTGTGAAGTTGTGGAAGCAATGGAATGCGCACATGTGAGTGGGGCTAGTGCCATCTAGTGGTTGCTGATTTTCTTTGGCTCAGCGGCGCGTGGATCACGAGCTGTGTGTGTGTGTGGATTGGGCAAGGCTAAAGGGAGGAACGAAAGTCTCAAAATTCAAATGAATCAAATATTATCGACTCATGCACGCGTGTCGCCTGACCCACAAATGCACATTTTAATCGCTAACGATATATTAAGGCAGAACAGACCATTTTTATTCACAAACATGTCTGTATTTATACAAATCGCTACACAATCATTTAATCCCGAATTCCACAGACTCAAATTGAAAGGCATTTGTTTGTGGTTAGTAAGATACATGTATAAAATGTATGCAGTACATGGATAATTGTGCGTGCATCTATTAATCATTTTGAGTCTAATATCATCCCATACTTGTGTCGCTTCGCTAAAGATAGGCGCCTAGTCTTTTTTTGACGGACGCCGCGTTCAAGCCGCACAGCAAATACAAAATAAAAAGTCAAAATATATACCCTACAAAACTGGCACAATTGTAAATAAGTTAGTTGTTTTAAAAATGCGAAAGTGTTCATTTGTTTTGAAAAATGTCTTGTGTTGGTACTGTTTTAAAAATGCTTAAAATGCTCTGTAGACTTTCCAGTATCAGAACAAATGCCAGTGTTATCCTCCTGCTCACGGGCACTGGAATTTCGTGGGGAAAACATGGAAATAATTTGTCGTTTTATCTTGCAAAGATATGCTTTCTTCTTCTGTTTTCCACACACATTTTTATGAAAATGGATATAGTACTTTTTTTTTCTGGATTATAATATTTTTTTTTTCGTCTAAAAAAAAAAAGGTTTCATCTGAAACAGGCTATAAAGCAATCAAGGTCAAGCGCAAAGCGCGCACATTAGGATGGGTGACAAGTGAGTTTGTTTCGAGTTTGTATTGTGCATTTTCCAGCAACCACGCCGCTAGTTTCACTTTCGCTTTAAATATTTAGGCTGGGCATTTATAATATATGTTTATAGTGAATGCCACTATAATTTGTGTTTGTTTTTTTCTTATATTTTCGTTCTTTTTTTTCTG